TAACAAATACAGAAGGCTCAGAGACTCTATATGGAGATAGAACTTTTTTTTTTCTTTTGAGATAGAATTTTACTTTGTTGCCAGGCTAGAGTGCAGTGGTGCGATCTTGGCTCACTGCAGCTTCCACCTCCCAGCACTTTTCCTGCCTCAGCCTCCCAGTAGCTGGGATTACAGGCACCTGCCACCATGCCCGGCTAATTTTTGTATTTTTTATTAGAGACGGGGTTCACCATGTTGGCCAGGCTGGTCTGGAATTCCTGACCCCAGGTGATCCACCCGCCTAGGCCTCCCAAAGTGCTGCGATTACAGGCATGAGCCACTGTGCCCAGTCGAGATAGAACTTTTTAAAAAAAATTTTTTGGTGTAGGTTTCCAGCATAAGAAAAATAGAATAGTGTGATAACCTCCATGACCACATAGAGTTAAGCTCCACAGCTCACTCTCTTAACCATCCTGTAATTGTGCCTGCTCTATGCCCAGTCACTGATGCACTTGTGTGGTAGCTCATGGCACACTTAACAAACAGTTTCCCTGTCCCCTTAGAACCTGGGTTTCATTTCCGGCTCTACAGCAGTATAAACAATTTTTCTCTGAATGTGTTGGGTTCTATCCTTATATGTCTCAAATTTTATTAATATTACTGAATCTTATAGGGGGCTGTGATGTCTTTAATCCTTAGAAATATTAAACAATCTATAAACAAAGGAATGTATGAGGTTAAACAGTATTCAAATTTCTATGTACTTTAAAACATTCAGGCAATGTATTGAGAAGCACACCTAATAAACTGTAGTGAATCTACTCTGGATGAAAATTTAGAGAATATCTCTCAAAAGAAGCTATCTAGACCGGGCATGGTGGCTCACGCCTGTAATCCCAGCACTTTGGGAAGCCAAGGCAGGCAGAGGTCAGGAGGTCAAGACTTACCTGGCCAACATGGTGAAACCCTGCCCCTACTAAAAAAAGAAAAACAAAAAACAAAACTAGCCAGGCATACTGGCACACGTGTGTAGTCCCAGCTACTCGGGAGGCTGAGGCAGGAGAATCACTTGAACCCGGGAGGCAGAGGTTGCAGTGAGCCGAGATTGCACCACTGTACTCCAGCCTGGGTGACAGAGCCCATCTCAAAAAAAAAAAAAGCTATATATCGGTAGTTATGCATATTCTTATATATATTAACAGTATTTTACATGCTTATAACCTTAAAAATAATTGAAAAGTGTCAAAATTATATGCCTTATACATTTCTGTGGGCTTGAAAATGATACAATATAGGTTGTTTAAAGCAGTCACTAAAATGTATAAACTTCTACATAATCACTAAAAAAGAAAGTTCGTACCAAAAGTAGTAATACTAGGAATAAAAGAGGGCTCAACACTGCCTTTGGGAGAGGAAGGGTCCAGATTGGTATGTTTTTAAAGTCCTCCTCCAGCCTGCCATGAAACATGGCTGGATTTTTCTCCTTGTCCTGTGTAACCTCCCTTAATTTATCATAGTTTACTGCCTTAGTTACTCTCTCATTCCTCCAAGGAGAACCTCAAGAAATTTAGGTAACCCCAGCCAGTTGCCCTCAGTTACCAAGGAGCAATTAGGTAGGAAATGGCCACTGAAAGACGGAAAACAAGAAAAGGACTTGGGTCCCTCATCCAAACTGGGCAGTGGTGGCCAGGCACTTCCACACGGAAATCTTTCACTTCACCAGAATGTCCCCAGCCAGAGACCCGCAGTTGTCTCTGTGCTTAGGTGCTATCCACTGAGGATCCCGAGTTGGAAAAGGGAAATAGCGAGGCGGGGAATTCCCCTGTATACAGCTATCGCCACATGGCGATAGCTCCAGCTCATGCCCACAAATGAAGGCTCTCTAGAGAGGAAAAAGGGAAAAATAAAAGAAAAATAAATTCCAAAATTTGGGCTTACCTCCTGACTGGCTCACCAAAATATGTTACTGGTGTGGAAGGTCTTCACTACAAGTCGTCCAGGTTCTTGGCATGGTGAAAAAAGATTGAACAAAACACACAAAGCAGTGGAAGACAAAAGCATAGGTATATTGAAGTGAAAGTACACACCACAGAGTGGGAGCTGGCTTGAGCAAGTAGCTGATGAGCCCCAGTTGGGGTTTAAGTACCCTTAGGGGTTTCCTGTTGGTTACACCCTATACCAATGAAGGATTGGTTTGTGGCCAATCAGAGGCTGAAGTGAAGTTACACCCTATGCAAATGAAGACTGTGACCAATCAGAGGCTGAAGTGAAGGCGCCCTGTCTTTAGACCCTATTCTGCCTCAGTTAAGAAGCAAATAAAGGCACTCAACATCATTACTTATCAGGGAAATGGAATTAAAACCATAGTGATGGTGTGTGCCTCTAGTGCCAGCTACTCAGGGCTGAGGCTGGAGGATTACTGGAGCCCAGGATATCAAAGCTGCAGCGATCACACCACTGCACTTCAGCCTGAGCAACAGAGTGAAAACCCTGTCTCAAAAAAGTAATATAAATAAAACCACAGTGAGAAACCAGTACACACCCACCAGAATGGCTGAAAGTACAGTATGTGGTATTGGTGTGATGTGGAGCAACTGGAACTCTCGTAGATTGACTACTAGTGGGTTATAAAAGGGTAAAGCCTTTTTGGAAAACTGCTTAACATCATAGTAAAGCTAAGCCTATTATATCAGTTCTCTATTGCTGCCTAACCACTCCAAAACCTCAACCAACAATGTATTATTTTTACAATTCTGTGGGTTGAGTGACCCATTTGTGGGTCTTCTCTAGGTTTACTCATGCAGCTGTGGTTAGCAGATACTTGACTGGGTAGATGGTCTAAAATGGTATCATTTTCCAGTAGGGAGCTCAGCTTGGGTGCTAAGTCCCTTTCTCTGGGGCTTTCATCTTAGGTTTCTTTGTAGCATGATGTTCTCAGGGTTCTAAAGGACAAGAACCGAAGTTCAGGACCTCTTGAAAATTCAGAGTTGCACAACATCACTTCCATCACGTTCTGTTCCATCAGTACAAGTCTCATAAGCTCAGAGTCAATGTGGGAGGGGCTGTACCAGGGTGAGGGTGCCGGGAGGTGTGATTCATTGGAGTGGGTATGAGGGTGATGATTGGCCATACTGATTCTGTGATGTAGCAGTTGTGCTCCCAGGTGTGAGCCCAACGGAAGCAAGTGCTTCTGTCCACTAAAGGTCACAAACAAGAGTATTCATAGCTTTATTCATAGTAGCACCTAACTGGAAATGACTCAAACGTCCACCAGTAGGAGAGAGGAGAAGTAAATTGTGGCATGTTCATACTACTGAATCATTTAGAAACATGGATCAATTTTACAGATTTTTAAAAATTTTTAATTATTACTATTTTTTTTTCTGAAAGGGAGTTTCAGTCGCCCAGGCTGGAGTGCAGTTGTGCAATCTCAGCTTACTGCAACCTCCGCCTTCTGGGTTCAAGCAATTCTCTTGCCTCAGCCTCCCGAGTAGCTAGGATTACAGGCGCATGCCACCCCACCTAGCTAAGTTTTTGTATTTTTAGTAGAGATGGGGTTTCACCACGTTGGCCAGGCTGGTCTTGAATTCCTGACCTCGGGTGATCTGCCTGCCTCGGTCTCCCAGAGTGCTGGGATTACAGGCGTGAGCCAGCACGCCTGGCAAATTTCACAGATTTTTGACAAAAATATGAATATCTACTGATTACTTCCATTTCTAAGATTAGTGTATTAGTCCATTCTCGTGTTACTATAAAGAAATACCTGAGCCTGGGTAATTTATAAGAAAAGAAGTGTAATTGGCTCACAGTTCTGCAGGCTATCCAGGAAGCATGATGCTGGCATCTGCTTGGCTTCTGGGGAGGCCTCAGGAAACCTGAAATCATGGCAGAAGGCTAAGTGGGGAGCCACCACTTCACATATCTGGAACAGGAGGGAGGGAGAAAGGGAGGAGGTGCTACAGACTTTAAACAACTGGAACTGACTGTCACGAGAACAGCACCAAGAGGATGGCACTAAACCATTCAGGAGAAACCACCCCCATGATCCAATCACCTCCCTCCAGGCCCCACCTTCCAACATAGAGGATTACAATTCAACCTGAGATTTGGTGGGACACGGATCCAAACCATATCAATTAGTAATGAACAAAACTAATTGGTAGTGATAGAAAAGTCCATATAGTGCTTATTTCAGGCTTGGGAAAGCTGGCAGTATTGACCAGGAGTGGGCACAGGGTGGTCTTAAGGAGCTGTGCGTGTTCTGTGCCCTTCTGGCGGTGGTCATGTGGGATGCATGTACGTAGCGTTCATTCAGTCGTGTGCTTAAGGAGATTCACACTTGACTCTTGGTTTTAGCTCAGTTTTAAAAAAACAAACGTAAACTCTGGTTTCCTAGAGATGTTGGGTTGAAACCTCAGCTCTGCCCCTCGGCAGCCCTGTGCCAAGAAAGGCAAGTCTGAGCCTTAGTTTCGTCATTTGTTCAAGGCAAGTTCATAGGAAGCTAAATAAAGGCTGGAGAGTTGATAATGAGTCAGAGGGACGTCTCCTTGACCTGGCAGAAGAGATTTACCATTCATGTCATTTTTATTTCTAGAAGGTTTGCATGTCATTATCTGCCAAACTACCTATTCCTGAAAGCTATTGGTTTGAACTGCGTAAAACTCATTTTGTTTATGTCGAATGATTGTACCTAATATATCTGTTCAGATCTGTTCAAATTTATATCACCCTTAAGGTTTTAATATATGGGAAATGAATTTTATTTCATTGTGGCTTCTGTGTGCATAAGATTGGTGACTATACCCAGTGGGCGCAGCAGTTCTTTTTTTTTTTGCGACGGAATCTAGCTCTGTCAGCCAGGCTGGAGTGCAGTGGCACGATCTCAGCTCACTGCAAGCTCCGCCTCCCAGGTTCACGCCGTTCTCCTGCCTCAGCCTCCTGAGTAGCTGGGACTACAGGCGCCTACCACCACACCCGGCTAATTTTTTTGTATTTTTTTTTAGTAGAGATGGGATTTCACCGTGTTAGCCAGGATGGTCTCAATTTCCCTGCCCACCTCGGCCTCCCAGAGTGCTGGGATTACAGGTGTGAGCCACCCCTCACGGCCACACAATGCAGGTCTTATCTGTAACAGCAGAGGAAAAAGTTGCCCACAGGCCTCATCCGTATTTAGGAGGCCTTGGAAATAGGGCAGCTGTTGAAACCCTGGAGTTGCAACTGCCTGTGCTTCTAAAAGTCTCCTGACACCTCCATTGCCAATGGTGGAAAACAAATGAAAAAGAAAAGATTGGAATGTTGTTTTCCTTCTGCTCTCAACTTGTGCTCTTAAAAGTATCATTTGACTTAAATGATAGAGATGGTGTATAATGATGGAAATGATAGATAAATGATGGAGTTTTATATTTTATTCTAAATAGTATAATCTGACTTAAATGATAGAGATGGTGTTATATAACAATAGAAATTATAAATGATGGAATTTCTTATTTTATTCTAATTATAGTATTTCTTTTTAGGAGCAGACATTAAAGACAAATTAAAATGTTATGACTTTGATGTGCATACAATGAAGACACTAAAAAACATTATTTCACCTCCGTGGGATTTCAGGGAATTTGAAGTAGAAAAACAGACTGCAGAAGAAACGGGGCTTACGCCATTGGAAACCTCAAGGAAAACTCCAGATTCCAGACCTTCCTTGGAAGAAACCTTTGAAATTGAAATGAATGAAAGTGACATGATGTTAGAGACGTCTATGTCAGACCACAGCACGTGACTCCAGTCAGTGGTCCTGGTCCCGCTGTCCCGGTGTAGGTTAGTATTCTCTCACATCCTCTCCATGGCTTAAGAACGTCCCACTTCCTAACGTGACTCCAAACTGCATCTCTACATTTAGGAACAGAGACCCGCCTTAAGAGACTGGATCGCACACCTTTCCAACAGATGTGTTCTGATTCTCTGAACCTACAAAATAGTTATACATAGTGGAATAAAGAAGGTAAACCATCTGTTATGTCTTTTTTTTATTTTTCTTTTCCAATAAACTTTTATTTTGGTCTAATTTGAGATTTACAGAAAAATGGCAGAGAGAGTACAGAGAGCTTCTATGTGCCCCTCACCTAGTTTCCCCCATTGTTAACCTCTTACGTTACCATGGAACATTTGTCATGACTAAGAAACCAGCGTTGGTAGTTACCATTAACTAAAATCCAGCCTTTATTTGGATTTCACCAGTTTTTCCCTAATGTCTGCTTTCTGTCCCAGAGTCCCATCCAGGCACACACTGCATTTAGTCATCCCGTCTCCTTTGCGGTCTCTCGCCTGTGACAGTTCCTCAGACTTCCCTTGTTTCTCATGACCCTGACAGTTCTGAGGAGTACTGGCCAGGCAGTCTGAAGAATGTCCCTCCATTGGAGTTGGTCTGATGTTTCTCAAGCACCTTTCTCATCACATCCTGCTGGGTGGTTGTAACCACCACATACCTATCCCAGGCAGTGCTCACCTTGGCCACCTGGTCACAGTGGTGTCTGCCAGGTTTCTCCACTGTCAAGTTCCTGTTTTTCCCTTTCCATACTCTGTGGGTTGAGGAGGTTTAAGCTCCAACCCCAGGAGAGGGCAGTATCTGTGCATGTTATTCTTCTTGAAGATTTGTTTCTTTTCTCCTGTTTATTCAGTCATTTATCAGTATGGACTGGTGTACCTACAGGCATGTCTTGGGGACATTGCAGTTTTGGTTCCAAACTGGCGAAATAAAGCAAATATCACAATAAAACAAGTTTCACAAATTGTTTGGTTTCCCAGTACATATAAAAGTTACACGTTTATACTGTAGTCTATTAAGTGCGTAATAGCATTATGTCCAACAACCAGTGTACACACCTTAATTTAAAAATACTTTCAGGAATTCGAGACCAGCCTGGCCAACATGGCAAAACCCTGTTTCTACTAAAATACAGAAATCAGCCGGGCGTGGTGGCACGTGCATGTAATACCAGCTACTTGGGGGGCTGAGGCAGGAGAATCACCTGAACCCCAGAGGCAGAGATTGCAGTGAGCTGGACAGCACACCCACCACTGCACTCCAGCCTGGGCAACAGAGTGAGACTCCATCTAAAAATAAAAATAAAAAAAAGAGAACACTTTATTGTTAAAAAAATGCCTTTAACATTTAAACCCTTAGCAAGTTGTAATCTTTTTGCTAACGGAGGGTCTTGCCTCCATGTGGATGGCTGATGATGATGGTTGCTGAAGGCTGGGGTGACTGACTGATAACTTCTTCAAATAAGACAGTGAAGTTTGCTGCATTGATTGACTCTTTGATGAAAGATTTCTCTGTAGCATGTGATGCTGTTTGACAACGTTTTACAGTAGAACGTCTTTCAAAACTGGAGTTAATCCTCTCAAACCCCGACGCTGCTTTATCAGCAAAATTTATGGAATCTTCCAAATCCTTTGTTGTTGTTTCAGCAACGTTCAGTATCTTCACCAGGAGTAGATTCCGTTTTAGGAAACTATCTTCTGTGCTTATCCATAGAGAGCAACTCCTCATCTATTAAAGTTTTATCATGAGACTGCAGCAATTCAGTCACATCTTTAGGCTCCATTTTTAGATTTTATTTCTTTTTTATTTATTTGTATATTTTTTGACACAGAGTCTCATGTGTTGCCCAGGCTCATCTCGAACTCCTGGGTTCAAGCAGCCCTCTCACTTCAGCCTCCCGAGTAGCTGGGATTACCGGCACACACCACCACGCCCAGCTCCACTTCTAATTTTAGTTATCTTGCTATTAGATCACCACATGCTGCAAGCAACTTCTTCCAAACTCCCATTTTGACCACTCCTCATGAATCAATCACAAATGTTCTTAATGGCATTTAGAATGGTGAATCCTTTCCCGAAAGTTTTCTGTGTTCTTTGCCCAGATCCATCTGAGGAATCACTCTATGGCAGCTATAGCCTTACAAAACGTATTTCCTAAAAGATAAGACTTGAAATTCAAAATGACTCCTTGATCCGTGAGCTGCAGATGGATGTGTTAGCAGCATGCAAACAGCATTCGTCTTGTACATCTCCCACGGAGCTCATGGGTGACCAGGTGCATTGTCAGATTGTCAATGAGCAGTGATGCTTTGAAAGGAATCATTTTCTGAACAGTAGGTCTCAAGGGTAGGCTTAAAATAGTAAACCATACTGTAAACAGAGGTGCTGTCACCTAAACTTTTTCTATTTTTAGAGCACAGGCAGAATAGACTTAGCTCTCAGATTTTCTTCAAAATGTGAATGAGCATTGGCTTTAGTTTAAAGCCTCCAGCTGCATTAGCGCCTCACAAGTCAGCCTGTCCTTTGAAACAAGGCATCGACTCCTCTTCAGCTATGAGAGTCCTAGATGGCATCATATTCCAATAAAAGGCTGTTTTGTCTGCATTGATTATCTGCTGTTTAATGTGGCCATCTTCATTAATGATCTTTGCTAGACCATCTAGATGGCTTCTCCATCAGCAATTGCTGTTCCGTCTTGCACTTTTTATGTTGTGGAGACGGCTTCTGTCCTTAAACCTCATGAAAAATCTCTGCTAGTTTCTACCTATTCTTTTGCAGCTCCCTCGCCTCTCTCAGCCTTCATAGAATTGAAGAGAGTTAGGGTCTTGCTCTGGATTAGGCTGGCTTACAGCAATGTTGTGTCTCGTTTGGTCTTGTATCCAGATCACTCAGACCTTCTCCCTATCAGCAGTAAGGCTGTTTCACTTTCTTTTGTGTGTTTAATGGAGAAGCCCTTTTAATTTCCTTCAATAACTTTTCCTTTGCATTCACAACTTGACCAACTGTTTGGTGCGAGAGGCCTTGCATTTGGCCGATTTTGGCTTTTGATGTGCTTCCTCACTTTCCGGCCATTATTTCTTTAGGGTTTTTTTGGTGGTTGTTTTTGTTTGTTTGCCCTTTTCCTCTCTTGTTGGGATTCCTATATGCGTGTGTTGGTATTTCTGATGGTGTCCCATAGGTTCTGTTCTTGTGCTCCTCAGACTGGGTAAGTTCAACTGCCTTCTCTTCACCTTTGCTAATTCTGCCTGCTCAAGTCTGCTGCTGAATCCTTCCAGTGAATGCTGTAATCTCAGCTGTTGTGTTTTTCGGTTCCTGAGTATCTATTTGGTTCCTTTTTATCATTTCTGTCTCTGTTCACATTTTCTGTTTGTTCATACATCACTCTCCTGGTTCCTTTAGTCCGTTTTCCAGGGTTTCTGCTAGCCCTGTGAGCATATTAATACAGTTGATGAACATCTTTGACTAGTAATTCTAATATCTGGGCTTCCTCAGGGACAGTTTCTGTCATATTCTTTTTTTCCCATAAGTCAGCCATATTTTCCATTTTATTTGTGTGCTTTGTAATTTTGTGTTGAGAACTGTACAGTTTGAATATGACACTGCAGTAGCTCTGGAAATCACAGTATCCCTTTCCTCAAGGATTGCTTCTGTTACATGTTGAGGGCTGCAGTTCATTTGTGTAGTGAATTTTCCAAGTTTTTTTTGCAAAGTCTGTATTCCTGAGGTTCCTGGTCTTTTTATTGTCTCTCTGGTCAGCCTGTAACCTGACAGAGATTTCCTTAAGTGTCTGGATCTTTTCTTTTTTTTGAGATGAGGTCTCTGTCACCTAGGCTACAGTGCAGTGGCATGATCATAGCTCACTACAGCCTCTAACTCCTTGGCTCAAGGGGTCCTCTCGCCTCAGCCTCCCAAGTAGCTAGGACTACAGGAATGCACCACCATGCCTGGCTAATTTATTTATTTTTATTTTTGTAGAGACGCAGTCTCACTATGTTACCCAGGGTGGTCTTGAACTCAGAGGCTCTGATGATCCTCTTGCCTCAGCCTCCCAAAGTGCTGGGATTCCAGGCATGAGTAACTGTGGCTGGCCCAATATCTGGATCTTTTTTTTTTTTGAGACGGAGTCTCACTCTGTCGCCCAGGCTGGAGCACAGTGGTGCGATCTCAGCTAGCTGCAAGCTGCACCTCCCAGGTTCACACCATTCTCCTGCCTCAGCCTCCCGAGTAGCTGGGACTACAGGCTCCCACCACCTCGTCTGGCTAGTTTTTTGTATTTTTTACTAGAGATGGGGTTTCACCGTGTTAGCCAGGATGGTCTCGATCTCCTGACCTCATGTTTTTTTTCTTTTTTTAAAGTGTATGTCTCTAAATTTTCTGACAGATGGTATTGGGGAAATTGCTGCAGCCTAAGGGGTCGAGACAAAGGCACGCATCTACGCTGGTCCCTCAGGGCACCATTATATGACCAAAATGCACAGGGTCCTCGCTGAGGACAGGCTGCAGCAGGTACATAGGCTGTCCATCCACACCACCCTCTGAACCAAAAAGCTGCAGCCTCTGCATCATCAAGCCTTCCCCGGGTTGCAGTAAGCATCTGATGAGGTGACAGAGTTAGAAAACAGTTGATTCTGCTAATTTTTTGTCCAGCTTAATGGTGGTTTTGGAGAAGAACCAATCAATTCAATCCCCGAAGCTTCCTGCCCTGCCGTTTTCTATGACGTCACTGCTCTCTTTAAATATTAGTCATATTTAAAAAAAAACTATAGGCTGGGCATGGTGGCTCACGCCTGTAATCCCAACACTTTGGGAGGCGGAGGCGGGGAGATCACGAGGTCAGGAGATCGAGACCATCCTGGCTAACACGGTGAAACCCCGTCTCTTTTTTTTTTTTTTTTTTTTTTTTTGAGGCGAAGTCTCGCTCTGCCGCCCAGGTTGGAGTGCAATGGCCGGATCTCAGCTCACTGCAAGCTCCGCCTCCTGGGTTCACGCCATTCTCCGGCCTCAGCCTCCCGAGTAGCTGGGACTACAGGCGCCCGCCACCTCGCCCGGCTAGTTTTTTGTATTTTTAGTAGAGACGGGGTTTCACCGTGTTAGCCAGGATGGTCTCGATCTCCTGACCTCGTGATCCGCCCGTCTCGGCCTCCCAAAGTGCTGGGATTACAGGCTTGAGCCACCGCGCCTGGCGAAACCCCGTCTCTACTAAAGATACAAAAAATTAGCCAGGTGTGGTGGCAGGAGCCTGTAGTACCAGCTACTCGGGAGGCTGAGGCAGGAGAATGGCGGGAACCCGGGAGGCGGAGCTTGCAGTGAGCTGAGATTGCACCACTGCACTCCAGTCTGGGGGACAGAGCGAGACTGTCTCAAAAAAGAAAAAAAAAACTATAGCTAAATAATAGTCATATAAAATTGTTTGCAATACTTATCAAAATTCAGTTTTACTTTTGAAAGTCATAGTATTTAAGATAATAAACAGCTATTAATACATTTGTGATGCTTTAAAAAGCTCAAAGAATCGAACAGCCATTGTAACAGAAAATCATAAAGCTAGATTTTCTTTATGATATAATTTGTCATGTAAAATCAAACTATTTTAGAATCTTGATATGACTCCTAGGTGATAACTGTACAAGCAAACACCGCCGCCACTCTTTTCGTCATTCTAATAAAGAGAGAGGATTATATGCTTCATTGGTTTAAAGTCCTTTATTCAAACGCTCCTACTCCTAACGTCAGAGGACACATTACTCTACTTTTTCATAAAAGAAAAACAAACTTGTATAGTTACTACAAAGCATCTACTCACAGCATCATTAACAAATTAGGCATTATACAGAAGTGAATTTTCCAGGCAACCGAACTGCCTTAAACACAAAACTTTTTATCTTAACCTATCTAAAGTGTATTCCCTGTATTTCTACCTTCTGAAGCAGAACAGTGGTAGCGTTCATTTCTTGAGGATCCCCAGGTGTTAACTCCAGTAAATCTTTTAAGGAGGGCTTTCTTCCCCTTCATACAGTTGAGGGTCTAGCACTGTCGTATGGTGCGTTGAAGACCAGCATTCAGACCCCATCCTGTCTGCAGTCATCACAGTGAAAGTCAGAGATTGTGCTGGAAGTTAACACAGTAATACACTTAGAGACCATGAGTTACCCCATGCTAAATTAGACTCAAACTAATGTGTTTTCTTGTTTTCATTTTTAAATGGCTTTTCTGTCTCTCTGTCAGGCATCATGTGTGCCTCCCCTGTCTTGAGTTGGGGGTAGAAAATCAAGTGACTGAACTTAATTATTTTTAAAACAACTAAAATGAAAGTATTATATTAATAAAGTGCTGAGTTTTTACATTTATTTTTCCTGCCAGAGGAAAAAAAAAAAGAAAAAACCATTTAGTTTTCTCACTGATCACTGTTAGGATTTTTTTGGTTTCTGTAAGTGAATGTCCGGTAGGTGAGCCATTACTCTGTTGACAGTGCTTTACGACACAAAATGCAAAGGGTTCAGACACTTGACTAAGCTGTAATTCAGATTAGCAGCAGTGCTAACATCAGTGTTTAGGCCTCCTGAGAGTAAAAACAATGTGTCATCATACTGCCAAGTATTGTTCCTGTTACTACCCAGTTCTTCAGTATCTCATGACAAGTTTCTCCTAAAAAGGTGTCCTTCTCACTAACTGCAGTGGCCATGTTATCCTTAAGGGAAATACTTGGAAGTGTTATGGTCACCAGCTTCTTCAAGTCACTGTCATCTACCAATGAGATAGGGGCTACCAAGTAAAATGTAGCCCGGGGCCACATTCACAGATGGAAGTGTTCAGTTAAGCAAAAGTAAAGTTACATAGTATACAGCCCACATGAAGAAAGGTTTGGAGATTATTTCTTACTGCTTTGCTTTGGCTGTAAAGTTCTCTACATGTATCAAACAGAACATTTCAACAGGCTGGCTAATGTGTAGGAAGCTAGATTTTCTTTATGATATAATTTGTCATGTAAAATCAAACTATTTTACAAGTGTATTTCATTCACTGTATCTTAAAATTCATGTAAGATTTTATTTAAAGATAATTTCATCAAACAGCTGAATTCTAAAATCCTTTTTTTCAAAATCATTTTTCAGAACTTTGCAATAATAGGAAGTAATGAATCAGAAAGGTGTTAAAAAATTGACTTGGGGGGAAGAAACATTTGGACATTTTGCTTGCTAGGTTTACAAAATATACACATCCAGCAAACATGAGTCCCTTTACGTATACAGTGCAGTAAAGGGAGAAGTGGAAATGCTCACGGTTCTGGGGAAGGTCAAATGAAGGCTCCCTCACGTTGGCTGAGGCCAACCTGGCTTCAGCCAAGAACAGGTCTTTGCAGTGGTGAGGGCAAAACACGAACACAAGAAATACCCTAAGTTACTGTACCTGGTTGTGCCTGGTGAGAGGCGGGACCAGCTCTTTTTTCTCCATTTGGTAATTTTAGGAAATTTGGCAGAGTTGATAAATCCCCTGGTGCAAGATTGCTTCATTAAGAATGTGTTATAGATGGCAGATGTGAAGTTCAACAGTCCTTTTTATTATCCCAGCCTAGTAACATGACGAGGTAAAATTAAATACTGAGTTAGATTGTTTAATATTTTAAAACTAGAGGGAAGACATACAAATAGATTGAGAGCAGTTTTTTTTTTTTTTGAGACGGAGTCTTGCTCTGTCGCCCAGGCTGGAGTGCAGTGGCCGGATCTCAGCTCACTGCAAGCTCCGCCTCTCAGGTTTACACCCTTCTCCTGCCTCAGCCTCCCGTGTAGCTGGGACTACAGGCGCCCACCACCGCACCCGGCTAATTTTTTGAATTTATTTTAGAGACGGGGTTTCACTGTGTTAGCCAGGATGGTCTCGGCCTCCCAAAGTGTTGGGATTACAGGCGTGAGCCACCGCGCCCGGCCGAGAGCAGTTTCTTTATAATCAGAATATATCTCCTATATTTTAAACACTGCAGGAACAAACATTTAAAATAAATGGTTTCCACATTCTACCCCTCACTATATGGTAAAATATTTTATCTGGCAACCACATTTTCCTACTTTTAATCACACACATCATCAGAGCTTTTCATCAGCCTAACTAGTCTTCCTACTCACTGAGCCTGGTCTAGGCACTTTTACCACGGCCATATTTTTGCTAAGATCCCTGCAGACTGTGAACTACGAAAACCAGCCCCTGGCCCCGCTTGCGGGTGCTGCAGAGCCGCGTGTGAACTGCTCATAGGAAGCCACGTCTCTGGGCGGGGTGGCTCTCGGGCCTGTGGATCCGCCTAAAAGCTTTTCTGCCAGTGACGCCCTTGGTCTCTGGATGTGTTCAAGCCTCAGGGATGTTATTCTCTGGTTTCCTGTGTGTGCTTGAGATTCTTGGGAGAAAGCGTGCTGCAGATGAAATATACAGTCTACATGAGGAAGAGAAGGGGAAAGTCATTTTAAAATAACTTCCATATAAATTACTGTAATCAAAGTGCTGCTACCTGTGTGTTCATAAGAAAATACGTGCAAGGGCCCGGATCGGTGGCTCACGTCTGTAATCTCAGCACTCTGGGAGGCCGAGACAGGCGGATAACGAGGTCAGGAGATCGAGACCATCCCGGCTAACATGGCGAAACCCCGTCTCTGCTTTAAAAATACAAAAAAAAGGCCGGGCGCGGTGGCTCAAGCCTGTAATCCCAGCACTTTGGGAGGCCAAGACGGGCGGATCACGAGGTCAGGAGACGGAGACCATCCTGGCTAACACAGTGAAACCCCGTCTCTACTAAAAAATACAAAAAACTAGCCGAGCGAGGTGGCGGGCGCCTGTAGTCCCAGCTACTCGGGAGGCTGAGGCAGGAGAAGGGCGTAAACCTGGGAGGCGGAGCTTGCAGTGAGCCGAGGTCGCGCCACCGCACTCCAGTATGGCGACAGAGTGAGACTGTCTCCAAAACAAACAAACAAAAAAAACGTTCAAATGCCAACCCAGCTCTGATGGCGCCCCGGCCACAGAGAGCCTGGGGGAGGGGGATAAAAACGGTGCTGGGCTGGGAAGGCGGCTTGTCCGCGATCTCCTCTCACCACGACCAGACCAAAGCCGCCGGCGCTCTGCTTCCGGGGCCGCCCTAAACCTCGGCCGCCGCTCCCTGAGGGTCCGCCCGGCCCCGCGGAGAGCTAGGCTGTGTGGCCGGAGGTCACGACCCCGACCCCCGACCCGTCCCGCAGCTTCCTGGCCCCTTCGTGGGCGGCCCCGAGCATCGCAGCCCGAGGAGGGGCGGGGCGGGGGCTGTCGAGCTCTCGCGAGGTTTTGTCGAGGGCTGACGGTTGCGGCTCGGCGGAGAGTGCGGGATGCGCTCGGAAAAGGAGGGGGCCGGAGGCCCTAGGGCGGCCGTTGCCGCGCGGGGACCGTGCGGGAGGGAAAAGCTGTCGGCCCTAGAAGTACAGTTCCACCGCGACTCGCCGCAGCGGGAAGCTGAGACGCAGCCAACCTCGTCCTCCGGTTGCGGGGGCGGTGCGGGCAAACCTCGCGAGGAGAAGAGGACGGCCCTGAGTAAGGTGGGGACGGGGACGGGGGCGGGGCGCGCAAACCTCGCGCAGCGGAGACGATGGTACTGGACGGCAGCGAGGGTGCGCGGAGGGGCCGGGGCCGGGGCCGGAGGCGGGAGGGGGAGGGCGCGGCGCGCAGGCCGAAGGAGGCGGGGTGAGGGGCGGGCCGCGGCAGAGGCGGGCGGGAGGGAGCGGGGCCGGGACAGTGCGCGACGGGGCGGGGCCACCGGGAGGCGGGGCCGGCGGCGGAGGACCGAGGAGGGGAGGGGGCGGGAGGCGGGAAGGGGACGCCGGCGGCAGGGGGCCGGCGCGAGGGGAGGGCGATGGCCGGGAGGCGGAAAGGGGCGGGGAGGAGCGGTGCGCGGTCCTCTGCGCCGTGCGCGGTCCCTCCGGAGCTCCATGTCCACGCCCCGCTGCGGTGGGAACGGCCGCGCGCTCCCCGCAGGTGGTCATCCGCCGCCTGCCCCCGGGCCTCACCAAGGAGCAGCTGGAGGAGCAGTTGCGCCCGCTGCCAGCGCACGACTACTTCGAGTTCTTCGCCGCCGACCTGAGGTGAGGCCCGCCCCGAAGCGAGGAGGAGGAGGAGAGGGCGGAACCCAGAGCTCTGCGCCGCTGGCCTTCTCGTTGCCTTAAGTTCCTTACCGTGATTTCTCCTTTATGGGAGTCGTGTGAACTTTTTGAATAAATTACATTTCAGTAAAACGTGTAAGTCCTTTCAAAGAAAAATACCAGCAACAAGGAAACAGATGTAGTTTGCATTAGAAATGCGGATGATTTTCAGGCGGCTAACGCTTAGGAAAACGGGTGCCTTTGAAAGGACCAGCGTTGCCCGCCCGGCGCCTCCCGGGCCTCCCTGCTCGGACGCGGACGGGGCGCGACGGGGCGGGGCGGGAGGGCGCCGGCTCTTCCTGTGGCCTCCACGCCGGTGCCACAGCCAGTGCGGCTCTAAATACCGGAGAGGGTCCCCGGCGCCACGGGTTCCTCTGGGAGTGCGCCCTGGCTTTGCCTTAGGGTTTCAGCCTCCGAGGACCGGTCTGGGTAGTGCAGAAGGGACCTGAGTTCTGCCCCGTAAAGTTAACGTTTTGCATTTGTTTTTGCTAAAGAATATCCAGATTGTTACAATTAACTGAGATGATTTGGCACAAAAGTTTTATCTAAAGTAGTTTGTTGTGCCCAGAAAAGGAAAAAGAGGCGAAAATAATGGAGTATTGTATTTTTCACTAACCATTTTCACTGTTATCTCTTATTTCAGTCTTTATCCTCATCTCTACTCAAGAGCATACATTAATTTTAGGAATCCTGATGACATCCTTCTTTTTAGAGATCGTTTTGATGGATATATCTTCCTTGACAGCAAAGGTTGGATTATTGGTTTTAAAAAATCTATTATAATCTCTAGGTATACTAATGAAGTATTGCTAGAATATCCGTGTTTTTATTATTATTATTTTTAGAGACAGGGTCTTGCTCTGTTGCCCAGGCTGGAGTGCAGCAGCCACAATCACGGCTCACTGCAGCCTCACACTCCAGCTCAGGAGATCCCCCAGCCTCCCAGGTAGCAGGGACCACAGGCGTGTGCCCCCATGATCGACTGATTTAAAAAAAAAATTTGTAGAGACAGGGGTCTCACTGTGTTGCTCAGGCTGGTCTTGAACTCCTGGCTTCAAGTGATCCTCCCACGTCAGCCTCCCAGAGTGCTGCGATTACAGGTGTGAGCCACAGCATCTGGTCTGTTTGTGCGTTGTAATTAAAAAGTTCTCAGACTAAAGTAAGATGATAAATTTTGATTATGTTACTGTAATTATGTGCAGATATTAAAAATTGAAATTATTTAATTTTATTATTTAAACCAAAAAAATCCCAGAAATTCTGTGTAATAGTGACAGTCTATTTATGTATTATCAGAGAATGAAGGTTTTCATGAGTGAGTTTTTTGCATGAGAGAACTTTATCTTTTTGGGTTTTAAAACTAAATTATTTTACCTGTTTGATAGCAATTTTCCAAAATGTATACTGACTTCTATCTTCCTAAACAGCACCCTTCATGACTGTACCATTTATGATAATGTCACCAGGAAGTCACTGAGTGCTGTTAAACAGCTTTGCCTGCGGAGACCGCAGTCTTCACCTCTAGTCTCAGTAGTTCCCTTCCCGGTACTTCTAGGGTTCTGCTTTGATCTTTTCCCCTTCTCATCTCCTGTCAGGCTGTCTGCTGTTGTGTTCCTGGCTGTCAAGTTTGTGTACCTTTCACAGCAAGTTCTTTTCTGCCCTCCCCTCCCCGGCCACCCTCTTCGCACTCCAAGCGTTTTGACACTGATGAGTGTTTTCTTTTTCTCCACTGAGGGGTAAGGACTAGAAAGATTGTTACAAAATAAGCATTAGCCAAGCTAGTTCCTGTGACCAGAAGCAAATGTGATGCTTGAACTGACCTTTGTGTTCATTGCTCATTTATTCAGTAACTTACTCAGCTTCCCTTTTTCACTTAAAAAATGTTGATGGGCCCCGCACAGTGGCTCACCCCTGTAATCCCAGCACTTTAGGAGGCCAAAGGCGGGTGGATCACGAGATCAGGAGTTTGAGACCGGCCTGAGCAACAACGTGAAACCCCATCTCTACTAAAAATTCAAAAATTAGCCAGGCGTGGTGGCAGGCGCCTGTAGTCCCAGGTACTCAGAAGACTGAGACAGGAGAATTGCTTGAACCCGGGAGGCGGAGGTTGCAGTGAGCTGAGATCGTGCCACTGCCTCCCAGCCTGGGCGACGGAGTGAAAAAATACGTATGTGTATGTACGTATATATATGTGTGTGTGTATATATATGTAAAATATATGTAACATGGCCAGGTGTGATGGCTCACTCCTGTAATCCCAGCACTTTGGGAGGCTAAGGCGGGCAGATCGCTTGAGGTCAGGAGTTTGAGACCAGCCTGGCCAAGATGGTAAAACCCTGTTTCTACTAAAAATAAAAAAATTAGCCAGCCGTCATTGTGCGTGCCTGTAATCTCAGCTACTTGGGAGACTGAGGTATGAGAATCACTTGAACCTGGGAGGCAGAAGTTGCAGTGAGCCGAGGTGTCACTACATTCTAGCCTTGGTGACAGAGCAAGACTCTGTCTCAAGAAAAGTCACAAAATTTATACCGTACTGTTTTCCACAGCAACTGTGCCATTTTACATTCCCACCAGTAGTGAGCAAGTCAGTCCTTATTTCCGGTTCTACTTTGTTGTTGTTGTTGTTTGGTTTTTTAAATAGAGACGGGGTCTCGCTAAGTTGCCCAGGCTGGTATCAAGCGATTTCCCCCACCTTGGCCTCCCAAAGCGCTGGGCTACAGGCGTGAACTGCCGCCCCGCCGATGTTTTGATGGTCTCTGGCCTAAGCCTGTGCTTTTGATGTCATATGCAAAAACCCATTGCCAAATCCATTGCTGTGGAGCTTTTTCCCCTGTGTTTTTTCCTAAGTGTTTTATGGTTTCAGGTCTTATATTTAGGTTTGATCCTTTTCGAGTTACTTTTTGTATATGGTGTTAGGTAAGGGTCCAACTTCATTTTTCTCGCTATGGATATCCAGTTTTCCCAGCACCAGCTGTTGAAAAGACTTTCTTTTCCCCATTGAATGGTCTGGGCACCCTTTTCAAAAATCAGTTGACCAAATATTACAAAGGTTTCTTTCTGGGCTCTTTATTTTATTCCCTCGATGGAGGTGTCTGTCTGTGTGGCAGTACCACACTGATTACTTGTAGCTTTGGAATCAGGGGCTATGTCATCTACCATGAATGAGTATCCACTGTGTGCTAGGCCTTCTGGGTGGAGCGGTGACTTGGACATCATCCCTGCTGGTCCAGTGCCCTACTGTCTCCCTGATTCTGACTTTATTCTGGATAGTGGAGGTGGCACAAAAATGTCTCCCAGATAAGGGAGTTATAATTCAGTCACCTGACCATTACTGACAAGTCTAAAAATGGCTCAGTGGGTTTAGTACCAAGGTAGCAGTGTTCCATTTGATGATTTGGCATATAGCAGGTTCTCTTAGTGAACATTTCTCTTTGTGTATTCATTTTTCCCCCACATAGCAACAAAGTTAGTTTCTAATGGCTTCCATTCTCTACTTTTATCAGAAGCAGATTTCACCTGGAATATTCTATAAACCCTTTGAAGCTCTCAATTTTAGCCATGGTGTCTTCTAAGCAAAGTAATTTTCTTGAACTTAAATAACAAATTGATAGTTGAATTAACCTTTTAAAATAAAATGTAAAACGTAGTTAAGAAATCTGATTATTTAAAGGTATTCCAACAATAAATTATTTGGGATGGGGCTGGGGAGGTCAGGTTTATTGAGGTGTAAGTTATATATGGTAGAAGTCACCCTTTTAAAGTGAACAATTTGATGAATTTTGAACAAATTCAGTTACACAACCACCACAACATGATGGATTGTTTTGTTCAATAAATAATTGTTCTTCCTACCATGAGTTCATCCTTGTTTTAGTCTGGAGTTTGCCATGTGAAGGTTGCAGGTGCTTGAAAGTGTAATTGTAGGTTTTTAAATGTTTTTTTTTTTTTAATCTCTTACTGGAAGGATGAATTATAGTTTAAATAGTAATAATACATTGTCATTGTTACACTTACTCTTTAAGTAAGCTAGGTCATTATTTTCCAAAATGAATGTAGTAGAATTTCAGAATGGCTTCT